GTTAAGCGTGCGAATCCTACGGGTTCGAGAACTATGTAGACATGACCGAGACACCTCTCCGGTCAATAACCAATAGCGGAACCTGGATGCTCATATTGGCTCCCACATATTCTACGAAGATCTTTATCGGTCGAACTATTATGACAACATATGTTATTCCCTTTGTCATTGGTATGTTACTTGCCCGAGATTCGATCGTCGGTATCTTCATACCTAGTTCAATCTCGTTACCGGTAAGTCTCTTTACTCGTTCGGTAATGCATCATCCTACAACTAACTAATTAGTTACTTTGCTTGCAAGGCTTATTATGATGTGCATTACCGAGAGGGCCCAGAGATACCTCTCCGATACTCGGAGTGACAAATCATAATCTCGATCTATGCCAACCTGACAAACACCTTCAGAGATACCTGTAGAGCATATTTATAATCACCCAGTTACGTTGTGACGTTTGGTAGCACAAAAGGTATTCCTCCGGTATCCGGGAGTTGCATAATCTCATAGTCGAAGGAATATGTATTTGACATGAAGAAAGCAGTAGCAATAAAACTGAACAATCATAATGCTAAGCTAACGAATGGGTCTTGTCCATCACATCATTCTCCTAATGATGTGATCCCATTCATCAAATGACAACACATGTCTATGGCTAGGAAACTTAACCATCTTTGATTAACGAGCTAGTCAAGTAGAGGCATACTAGGGACACGGTGTTTTGTCTATGTATCCACACATTGATCAAGTTTTCGGTTAATACGATTCTAGCATGAACAATAAACATTATCATGAATAAGAATATATATAAAATAACAACTTTATTATTGCCTCTAGGGCATATTTCCTTCAAATTTGAGTTATAGTCAAGTCAAGGTTAGCAAGTAAAGTTTTAATTGCTTCCTTAAGTGACAATGAAGTCGTGTCACTCACATGAACAACTCCAAGAAAGTGCTCACATGGTCTTCCTGCTTTATCAACAAAATGCAAGCACAAAGTTAGTTGTTCTTTATGTGATACATCACTAGACTCATCAGCTAGAATAGCATAATGTTCATCCCAAGTTGTTCAGTAATTTGCTTGCTAGTATGTAGCGCACAACATTTACTAATATTAATATGTTTTTGTTTCTAATGATAAGTCAATTTACAATTACCTTGTGCATTCTTCAAAACATACATATTCACCTCCTCACTATTTGCTGCAAGCCATTTCAATAGCTCAAGGAAGTTTCCTTTGCTGCTAGATTGTTCACTTTCATCATGCCCACAAAATGCCATCCTTGATGAAGAAGAAGCTGCAAGCATATAAGTGAATACTTTAACCTTATCTTGTACAAACGTAGATCCTCGCTATCCACCTTCACAAGAAGATCATCAATTGATTCACGGGGATTAACAAATAAGTTATATCTCACTTGAGCTACATTGCGCACACTATGCCTAATGGAGCGTGGTTTGTAGGCCAAAAGACCAAGGTGGCCTTGGAATTCATGACCTGCAGGTCAAGAATGAGGCTCTACCCAGTAAATGGTTATTCAAACTTCTTACCGAGGATGGTGTTTGGCAAACCATGCTGCGCAACAAGTATCTAGGCCAAAAGGCGGTGTCCCGGGCATTTTGGAAACCCGGAGACTCGCACTTTTGGGCTGGCCTAATGGCGACAAAGAAACATCTATTTCGCTTTGGGTCTTTCGCGATAAAGGACGGGTCGGAGATTCGTTTTTGGGAAGACATATGGCTAGGCAATGCCAGTCTCCGAGAACAATATCCAGCCTTATACAACATTGCTCGCGATAAGAATAATACTATTGTGCAGGTGCTCAATTCATCCCCACCGAATATTTTGTTCAGGCGGGATTTGATTGACCCCCGACTTGTGTCATGGCATAATCTTTTATCCAGGTTGGATTCGATTAACCTGACAGAAGGCCGTGATGTGTTTCGCTGGAACCTTACTACATCTGGGTCTTTCACTGTAGACTCTATGTACCGTGCGCTCACACATTCTGAGGTACCTGTTAGTAATAATAAGAAAATTTGGAAATCCAAGATTCCACTAAAAGTGAAAATTTTCATGTGGTATCTTCGTAGGGGGGTTGTGTTAACTAAAGACAACCTCGCACGAGGCAACTGGCAAGGGAGTAAAAAGTGTTGTTTTTGTACTCATGACGAGACAATCAAACACCTCTTTTTTCAATGCAAGTTTGCACGTTCTACGTGGTCAGTCATCCAAACAACGTCAAATTTGCATCCACCCTCAAGTGTTGCCAATATTTTTGGTCATTGGTTGGACGGTATTCCAAATAGTTTCAAAACGCTAATAAGGGTGGGAGTGTATGCCTTAATTTGCTCGCTTTGGCTATGTAGAAATGATTTGATTTTCAATGAAAAAAATGCTTCTTCTTTGCAGGTTATTTTCCGGTGTACGCACTCGCTACGTACGTGGTCTATTCTACAATGACCGGAGTACCAACCGCTGTTCAAGGCGGTGTGTACGCGATTGGAGCAGGTGGCTATGGAGGTTTTTTCCCGACATGGGTGGCAGCATAACCTTTGGATCGACCCACCACCTCCTTCGACATAGGCATAGTGTCGATCTATAGGACTCTACTATTGCCGTTTTGTCGGTTTTTATTTGATGTTTTTTTTTGGTTGGACTTTCGGATTTGGCTGTGTGCATCCTAGTTATGCAGAGGCCGGGTGTTACTCATAATGCTTTGTATCCACTTGATGCTACATTTTGAATTAATAAAATCGCCCTTTATCAGAAAAAAAAAATTGCGCACACTTGTTAGACAACCAACATGCTTATCAAGAGCATCTATATTCCAATTCCTCTTTGTTCAAAAAAAATAAATTCCAATTCCTCCAACCACCATCAGTAAATGCATAGTTCCCTTACCATTGGTTTTCTCCAGTTGAACAAGTAGCATACAAAAGCAAAATGCATATTGCTCCTTGATACTATATTCAAGCCAACTATGATTATGAAGTCACAAATGATTGAATGAACGACGTTAGAGCATCTACAACCAGACTGGGCAAGTTCGGGCCCTCAAACGCCTGCGAACGCGTTTGGATCGCTTCCGCAGCAGCGACCAGCCAGTCCTAAAATTTGCTCATCTGCATGTGGATACCTCATACTAGAAATCTTAAATACATACAAGAGCATGCAAAGGAAAAAATTCACATACTACGTAGATCAACTACTCTAGTCCTCGTCGGAGATGTCCACTATCACCGTGCCCGGCTCCGGGTACATGGGCGGCAGCTGCAGCTCCGGCTCCTGTGACTCCTCGACGCCGCCCTCCGCATCCATCTCTGCTTCGACCTCGTCGAAGAGCGCGTCGGTCGCCTCCCATTTTTGCCGGATGAACCGTCGTTGGCCTACACATAGGCCTCATCCTGGATGGACTCCAGGATGACGTGCCGCTTCGCCATCTCGATCGCTTGGACGACGACGAACTCTGCCTCTGCGTCCTCTATGTTAAAGCCAGGAGCCAGTGCCAGCTCCTGCTCCAGCTGCTCCGCCTTGTCCTCCTCCGGATCCGCCACCTCCATTGGAGCCGGCTGCTGCTCCTCTCCCTCCTTCTCTACCGCCTGCTACTCCTCCTCCGGCTCCGACGAGTCCGGAGGTAGCCCGACAGTGATGCGGGCAGCGCGCAACGCGCCTTGCGCGGATCTCCTGCTCGATCTGGTACCAGCGCTCTGGCCAGACCATGGCGAAGACGGAGAGCGTGGGAAGAGCGACGGATCAGGAGAGAGGAGGTGGATGGGCTTGGTGACGCGAAGAGGGAGGGGTGGATGGGCTAGGGTTGGGGGACCTCGTCCGCCTTAAATAGCCGGATTTGGCCTCAAGCGGC